ATTGTGAATGTACATATGAAATTGATAAAATAAAATAATAAATAAATAAATAAATAAAAAATAAATAAAATACATATCTATATCTAAAAAAAAAATCAATTAAATTAGCAAGGCTAATTTGAAATATATCCTTGAAACAGAGCAGAGGTTTTGGTTCTGGCTTCCTGTTGCTCTAGCAAGCCAGTTTGCTGATTAATAACAGCTGTTATGCATTGGTCAAACTTCTTAGCGGAGATCAGAAGATCTCTTACCTTAACGAAGATTTGCAGCAGGTTCTCCTCTGTCCAAGGGGGACGTGTAAAATCTTCATATAGGTAATCCCAGTCTGTGGTCATGTGACCCAGGATCTCCACTTCTTTCATTAAGATGACTCTCCTAGAGTGACCGGAAGGTGTTTTAGGAAGGAACAATCCACAATGGGTCCGAGGCCAAGGCCTTTTAACCTGAATGAAGCCATCTCTGCTCCACTAAAGAATAAATGTAGAAATACTTTCTCCCCCATTCTACTTGTGGAGAGGCTCAGCTTCATGGCTAAGCACAATCCCGCTTTGCAATGATTTCCAGGCATCCTTCCACTACTATCAACGGAAGCTTCCGCTGAGGTCTACTCAGCCAACTCTTAGCAGAGCCAACGCATCTGCCATCTCCTTCAATAAGGGGATGATGAGAGAATGTGTCGGGGCAGCAACGTTTAAGTCTTAGGCTCCCTCGATTGTTAGATTCCAGGATGAGCAGGGTCTAGGAACTCCTTCCGATTCGCTGGCCTGGCCGTACCTGCTGGTGACCACAATGTAGGCTTTTCCTCTTCCTACGACTGGACAATAGTGCTGGAAACTCTCGTCCTCCAGCTTCTTGATGTGGGAGTTCTGGAGAGGAAGTAAAAATGCTTCGGATTAGATCAGAGCTGCAATATTTAAACTCTTACATGAGGCTGGTCCTGGACTGGCCTCCCTCCCCCAAAGGTGCTGCTCCTGGAGCCCCATCTGAGAAGCAGCGAAGACAGAGTGAAGGGGAGCCTCAAGGGAGACTCCCTGGAGGCCTTCTGTCCTCAGCCAACAGAGAGCAGGGCACGGCAGGGCGAAGGGAGCGGCCACGTGGGCTGACGAGAGAAGGACAAAAGTCTCCCACGAAGGTCAAAGGTGGCACTCGGCGGAAACAGGAGGTGAAGCCCAATTCCCCCCCCCTCCCCTTCCCTCTGCAGCTGGGTCTCTTGGCTGAGGAAGACCGCCGTTGAAGGCCACTGAAGAGCATTGGCCCCTTCTCGAAACGGGGGCCCAATTCTCAGGGAAAGTGGCCGAGGACACGACTGTCACCCACCTTCAAAAAATAAAGTTCTCACAAGTTTAGGTACGAAAAGCAAAATTTTAATTCACCAGTTGATAGCATTTATGTACACATCTCTGCAACATTACAAACTGAACACCAATAATCGCAAGTGGGAAGTATTACCAAGAACTGGCTTTATTTGGGGGAGAAAAGCATTGTGGAGAGAGAGAAGGCTTCTCTTCCCTTGAGAGGGAAAGCGGAGGAGGGCTCAGGGGACCCCAACTCTCCCTCTGCTGCTCTGGGTGTAACCCTCGCTCTCAACAGTCACCGGATTTAGCACATATTCCGGGGGGGAGATGCGTTCCCATTGTTTCGTTATCCCCAAAAACATCTGCCATAAGGATACACTGTCTCCCAAATTAATTTTGTCACCTTTAAATCCATGTAGCGAAACCGTGCATTGAAAGGAAACAGGACACGCTTGTAAAAACGTTAAAATAAATACATGTTTCTGAGTACATCCTTCCTTTTCAGCATCAAGGCACAGGTGTTACTGTTGGAGGAGAATCCACTGCCTCACCTGGACAGGACTCTTCAGGTACCCCCTATCTAGTTGGAGAAAGTCAGATTCCCTACCAGACGTTCCAGTAGAAAATCTGTTCCAGTCAGATTTTGATGGAAGATGGATTGTCAAACTACAAGTCACAGAGGTTTCTGATTTAGGGTCCCCAGGAAGGACCCCCCCCCCCAAAAAAATATCCACCCACGGCAAAACCGCTGCCTGCTTTTATCCATGCTGATGGTGAAAACTTGGGTCGGGACATCACGGCGTCTGTGCTGACTTTTTCTGCACTTACGTTGTGACATTGTGCACAAGTGTACCAAACGCAGTGCACATTTCCCCACCTGCCTGTGGAAGGCTGCGCAGAACGAGATGCTCCGGAGAGGCCAGGGATTTTATTATCAGACCCTCGGGAGGCAGAGACCCTCCTTTTTGCAGATCACAAAAGGAAGTTTCCAAAAATGTCTTTGGTCTCCGGTAGAAACCATTTAGGAAGAAGGGTCTCCTCCCCACAAGGGGAGGGGGGGGCTTTCTCTCCTGGCCGGCTCTTCCTACCCAGGGCCCCCTTTCCTAGCAGCTCCCTACTCTTGGCATGAAGAAATAGTTGGCCCGACATTCAAAAGGAAGACTATCCAGAGTTGGTATGAAGAGCATGCAAAGGGATAGCAACCCCCAGCCGGTGAAGGTGGTCCGGAATTAAGTCTTTTTTACGTTTAAATCAAACCAAGGCAGATAAAGGTGATTAAGTTAATCAGGAAAGGAGGAACGTAACGGGTGATTCCGTTGGTCCAGCCGGGAATGGGCATGCATGGAAGGAGAAAGGGAGAAAGAAGAAGAAGATGATGATTAGAAAGGGGTGCGGGATGCAGGTCAAAGAAGGGGGGGGGAGGACAATTTAATCAAGGGCTTCCCCCCCCCAGTCAACATCCTCAAAAGCCACAGAAACCGCTTGCACTTACCCTTCATGCACACACACACCCACACACACACACAGACAGAGGCACATCTAGGCAGCTCCGTGCAAAGACTGTACCTCAAACAAGTCGCAACCCTCAGCCTCGCCTCGGTCGTAGGGCCGAATGATCCCGTCTTCGCGAATGAGGCGAGGGGGGCGCAGGCTGGAGACCTCTTCGGTTGACTCGGCCACCCTGTGAGGAGAGGAAAGTCCTTTCTAGGGAGGGGGGCCTTCTGGAGAGATCCGTTCCCTCGGATTCTTCTACAGCCCATTCCAGAGGGACTCGGCTCCAGAAACTCTTTCAGGGAGCTAGCAGAAGGCCTCCTGCTCCTCTGCACCGGAAGGCCCAATTCACACAACCAAGAAGGCGGCATGGGGCTCATGTGTGTGTTCCCCGTTCTCACCCGGGTCAAGTTCCCACATGCCGATTTCTAAGCGAGGCTTCCTTGGTCTCCTTCTGGGAAAGGAGTCCTGGGAAGTGACCACACACACACACACACACCCCAGACAGCTGCTGGGCTCACCTCTGGATCCCTTGGAAGGTACTGCTGGCCATGTCAATGATGCCCCCGGTTGGGCGGGCCACCACTCCCACCAGTCCCTTCCCGATGCCCTTGAAGAAGCCAGCCGCACCCTCCTTCTTGGCACCTTTCAGGATCAAGGGAGAGAAAAACGGGATGGCATTCTCTGACTGCAAAGCATTTTAATTTCATTTAATTTTTAATTTAAGCATTTTAATAATCAACACAAGAAGCGTTGGTTTTCTCTTTAACACTTCAAGCTTTAGCGTTCTGACCTCTTGCTTCATGCTTCACTTCATGTCATGACCGTGTTTCAGGGGATTCAAATCAGGGACATTTAAACGGAATATGCAGCAAAGCAGTTACTAAAGTTGCTGTCATATTTATATGTGTCTTGACTGAATTAGCAATAGCAGTTAGACTTATATACCGCTTCATAGGGCTCTCAGCCCTCTCTAAG